TAACCACTGGGCTAACTCTGCCTCGGGCTCTTCCAATCTGACGCCGTTACATAAAACTTCTCTCCTTCCTCCAACATGATTTCAGCAGATTTTCTTCTCCAACTTCCGGAATCGCACTTTTGCTTGAAGGAGGCAATGATCTGAATCACTCTGAAGGATGGTACTGCAGAGACGTACAGTAAGCACCATCTTCGGTTGGTGAGAATGTGATTGATCTCTGCATGGATCGAACCGTTGGGTGACACCCATGTTCACCGTCGGTCTTCTTTCTTCATGAAAATGGAGGTGCATGAAAAAATTGTGCGGGGGGATAATAGCCCAACAAGGCGATTACCATTCTCATTATGGAGTCCTGATCAAATCTCCCGACCTTATGCTCCCCTTCTTCTGGCATCCCGACCGATCTTCGCATTTAAGTTACCTACGACAAATTTGTAGAAGAACTTCTCTTTGCGGAAGACTTCCTCCAAATTTTCATAAAAAGCATCAAGCTCCGACTGATCAGTGCTGATGTTGGAGAATAGCAGTTGATGACAGTGATGGTTTTCTGATGCAGAGGACGCAGTCGAAGGATAACAGGATCTCAATCGACCGAATCGACAAGATGGACAAGACGGGTATACGACGAACCCAACGCTTCCAACGCTCCTTGATTGAATTTTTTCACCACAAATGATTAGTTAGTTAGTTACTTAGTTTTCCGCAAGGTGATTACGTGGTAGTTGATGCACCCTGTCCCTTTGGGAAAGGCGTGAAGATCGGCGTTGGTGGAGGCTGTCCTGGCGCTGTAGATGCAAAGCAGAAAACAATTTCTACAGTTGTTGATGTGTCCGATCCGAACCATGGCGTCCTGTGCAAACTGACATTGATATTAATTGAACGACGCCGGAGATGTCATTCAGTGCAGGGCTTCTTCTCCTTCTACATAATGTACAAGCAATAGAATTTCTCCACACTTAGCAGCTTTGCCATGGCCTGCTAAGCTTTCACCATAGGCAATCGCTGACCTATGTGGATCAGAAAACTACCTAGCGACTTAATCAGCCAGGCGGTGAAGCTATAGGTATGGCTTACTCCTACCTGGGCATCCGGGGAGCCGAAAACGTTGAACTCCTTCTCAGCTCGGAAGACCCTGCAGGAGGATAGTTTCCTATGTAGTTCGCAGCAAGACACCCAGAATCACTCCACGTCACGATGAGGCGATAGACCATCATGAGGGTATCAAGAAAAAAACTACCCAAAAAAAGAAGCA